CTCAAAATGCGTACGAAAATGACCAAAGTGGTATATATAGCTTATATAAGGCTTGAAACATCAATGGTCATCCGTTGTAGAACTTTTAGTAGAACGTGTTCTTGCAGTAAATTCAGTCTAATATTTTTGTGCATTACGTTTCTTCATTCATTCTGCGATTTTCTTGCTTCATTTAATGGGTCATTGTTGAGTCTTTCAAGTTATCTAAATTCTATGCTCTTATCAGAAATCAAAAATTATTTATTGCCATGTCACAACTGAGTGGAGCTGAGTACCAGTGAAGTTAAGATTATGAAAGAAATTGCCAGAATTATCTCATTTGGTTAATCTTTCTTCTCCCGGTTTGCAGGTGAGGAATATTCCTTAGTTTAATGGCAAGTATTCTATTATCAGCATGCTGTTCCATTTGTTGTACCATTTTTTATTACTTTTATTGCTTGCTACTGATGGAGTACAGCTATGCCCTAAGCAATGTGACTGCAATAACAGTGCAGTGTTTTGCCAGCGGAAAGGACTTCGGCGGATACCGGCAAATATTCCCGCAAATACTACGCGACTTGATTTACGCTACAATTTTATGAAGCGGATGTCTAAAGCAGATTTATATGGACTGAAAAATCTCGAAACTCTTTTCCTAACGCATAATCGGCTTCGGTTGGTAGATGAGGTAGTTTTTTTTAACCATAAATCACTGGGGAGCAGCATAGTTTTCCGGCAACCAAGAGCGGTTGTAACTTTTTGGAATTTTCTTTCTTCAGCGCCACTCAAATGCATTTATGAGGTATAGAACTTTATTCAACATGTAAAGAAATCTTTTTAACCGTGTATGGACTACCTCTGTTAGGTTGTTATGAGACGTCTGTCATGGAGTTTTTTTATCTTGTGCTATTTGATAAAAACTGTGCTTTAGAATGTGTTTGATGTAGTGCCGAACTTGAAGAAGTTTTTCGGGTCGGAAAATAAGATCCAGTTATTGCCAGTATTGCGCACAGATAAGCCGAGTTACTTGGAACATTTAGACTTACGTTCCAACCAAATTCTTTATTTGGATGATCAATTTATGACAAGTTTACCCTATCTGCAATATTTGGATCTCTCCAACAATCAGTTGGAAACTCTTCCAGAGAGTATACTCAAAAGCAGTTTTTTGAAAAAAGTGCATATTGAGAAGAATCCTCTGAATTGCGACTGCAGGTCTTACTGTTGCTAATTAAGCCTTAAGCAAAACTGCTAACCAATACTTGTTTGCCTCAATAATTTCACCTTGAATATTATCAGTTTTTATGGCACCGTTTTTAGAAAACTTTAATTTCAGATGGTTACGTTTGAGGAAGTTTTTGAAGGGTAAACAGGGCAAAGTTGAGCCGCTCTGTTTTTACCCTCCGGGCTTGAGGAGGAGCCGTTTGTTTGCTTTGAATGATGAGAACTTAAAATGTCACCGGGCGATACCTATTGGGTCGCAGAACTCGCTACTTCTGGGATGTTTGGCTGAAG